CCAAAACTCCATCGGTGACAGAATGGAGAAAAAACCTTGGGAGAAACCAGGCTCATTCGGGGGGCCAGTTCTCCTCTGAACAGACAACACCAGCATGGCCTGGTTTAATTCCAGACTGCAACACAGGTGCAGAGGACCCGTCTGGTTCCCGTGGTCTTGTGGAGCCTAACAATCCTTCAACGGATTTGAATTATAGAAATGCGACTGTGTTATGTGTATGCCAGGTTACAATGAAACATGAATGAAACATGTAATGAAACATGCTCTTTAAACTCATCAGTGATTTACACAAGACCATCCAGAGCTTGATCACTTCAACACATTATTGTACAATCCACCACCAGAGGTCAGCCTGGCCTCATTATTGACCTCCAGCTTCACATTGACTGCTGCAGCTGCTCCTTATTATCCATGATTAGATCACAGGATCTCTGCATATGAAGAGCACTTTCTAAAGTTTAGCATGTTCGCTCATTGGAATGTTCCTTGTTCTGTTGATGAATCCGACCTGTAAATATATATATTATATTATATTATGATATATAATATCAAGAGCAAATTGATGAACAACCACACACACATAATTTTTTATATTTTAGAAATGTAAAATAAAATAAAAACATAGTTTATAATATAAATAATATAAAAGTATATTTACAAGTTTTTTTTAGTTATTATTATTTTTTATTATTATATAAGTTACAAAACTTATAAAAAAAGTTGAAATTGATCAACTTATTTGGATGAGTTAATGTAAAAGCATAAGTTGCCATGACTTACTGATCATATCATTTTTTACAGTGTATATGTAAATATATGTGTAAATATATGCATAAATATATGTGAAATACTGAAATCACAAGCTGCTCTTTTGTAAATTAATGTAGTGCCATGTTTCCCCCGAAAACCGACAGCGCATATATTTATTTGCCAGCAAACCGCCAAAATAAAAGCTCGGTTTAATATAAAAAATAAAAAAAAATAGTATTTTCATTTTACAGGTTTGCATTAAAATAAATAAATAATACAAATAAAAAAATAACCCCAAGCATTCTAGAATAATTAATTCTTTCCAAACATAGCTGTTCAAGTATTTTTGAGAAAATTCCTTAAAAATGTTTTCACATCGCAATATATAACACAGAAAAAATAGATATCGCAATATCGCTTTTTTCCAATATATCGTGCAGCCGTAGCTTTTATCCATTTGTTAAAGAAAGGCTTAACATCTTTTAAGAATCTTTTACTACGTTTGTGGCACTCTTTGTCATTTTTGGAGGTTGACCGTCTCCTTTTGTTTTCCACTGAAGATTTTGACCAACAAGAGGGTGAATATATGATGACAGATTTTCATTTTTGGGTGAACTATTCCTTAAATTCACAAGCTTTCTATTACTGTGACACCACATGATATGCTCAGGAAAGCAATCCAGCAAACCTTGACAGCATGAGGATCCTTGTCAGGTTTGTTTTTACCTCTCGAAACTTCTGCTTTCCATTTCTTCTAAGTGTCTATCACCACCTAAAAGTGTTTATTTTGACACACACTTCTGTAAATTCCTCTGTTAAGTAACGGCATGGACAGCATGTACCCTAGAAGCTCATCGGCATGGCAACAGCGGCCAAATTAATTCCTGCAAATAATATTTTTATCCTGAGCCTGTTCAAGAACGCTAGCCTTAGCATTATCAAAAACAATAAATAATAGCGTTTCATGCCGGATAAGACGACGAGCTGCTGTGCGTGACTCATGGAAAACTCGTCAGCTCGTACTTTACTCCAGAACAATAATGTATGGACTTCAAAAAGCCTGGAGAAGGAGGGCAAATTGCCTAGCAACCAGTGTTTCTCTGGCCGCGGAGACAGAAAGAGAGAATCTGTTGCTGTGTGGGGCGCCGGGATGGAGGGTGGACCAGTTCTTCTTTTTGTTTTAGAGCTCAAGAATAGCTGGAGAAATCGTGACGGGCTATTTCGAGCGGTGGAGAACAAAAGCGCGAGGGAAGGATATAGCACATCCAAAACTGTTATGTAGACAAGTTTATGCTGCCTAAACTGGCATTTCTGCTCAAAATCAGGATTGATTTGGGGTGTATGGCAAGCATCATTATTACTATTACCTTCATGTACCTCAGTATATCTTACCCCGAACCGTTTGTTATACAGACATATACCATAAATTGTGAAGAAAACAGTCACTCACAACACCTTACCAGCTGCCTGGAAAATACTGGGAAAGTTGGCAAAGCATGGCAATGAGTTTCTTGAGAAAATGTCAAACTTCCAGAGGAAGCTTTCAAAAATGCATTAAAAATATGATTTTTAAGATGGTTTGCAAGGCACATATGATCTAAGAAATCAGTGTGAAAATATATTTGATTATATATTTTAATGTTGCAATTAATAGATTTTTAATCAATTAATAGCCCTAGTGTTTTTATATTTGCTAGAAATATTTGTATTTTTCATTACATGTAAAGTTTTAATTACAACACTTTGTTGTTCATTATTTATAAAAAATGTTATTTATATATAAAATGTTATTTAATTATGGAAAGTATACATCTATAATGTAAATGCAATGCAAAACGTTACTGATTACATCTTACTGATGCTTTCAAAACTATTGCAAATCTTTTTCGCAAATTCAGCATCTGTTAGCCATCTAGATAACATTATTTTTGTGACAAATCAGTGCAACAACAGTGTAAAATACATCACAGAAAAACGCAGATTAATGAACATAAGTGGCAATGTAGCACTGGCCCAAAATGGGTCAGTTGGGTCATCTTAATTGCTGTGGCCTAATTATGATTTTTATACAGTGATTGAGGTTTATTATTGGCCTGATTTCCGTAACGCCGTTACATGTAACTAGTTACTCCCCAACACTGGGTATATGGTACTTTTTGCTGTTAGCGCTCCTTTAGCAGTGAGCTAAATTAGCTTTGTCAAGAGAATAATCTAGCTAAGTACTAATGGGAAACAAACGCACCTTCCACATTTTCTTTGTCTCAGTCGTCTTCCTGTCAGTTTGTAATTGCTCGTATTGAGACTACAAACTTTCCACAAGCCTGTCCCGAGAACAAATTGCTTAATTACGTCAAAACATCATCCCTTTAAATGTAAATCATTATTAAAGTTGAGAAATTTCGCAACATGGCAACTTAGCTTACACTTAGCCAGCCAAAAGTGTTATGTGTGAATTTATTAGCCAGTGTTTCGCTGCCAGCATCTGTGGGGCTCCAGAGACTTGTTGCTAAGCTACTGCTAAAAAGATGATGTTTAAGTGTTTCCAAAAATACCTCTTTGTTCTGGCTAGGCTCCAGGCGTGAAGCCGCACAAGAAGGCTTCATCCTTGTGAATAATAGTCTGCTGGAATATAGATAGCTAGCAATAATAACACTCTGCATTCATTTAGACCATAAGCCTCACTAAGATGACTGTAAATTAGACATTCCTCCTGAATATTTCATCTGTTTCCAACTTGGAAGTCTTCCTGAGCTAATTCAGCTAAGTGCTAGCAAAGGGATGGGAGACCGATATAACTTGGTTAAAAAGACACCTGCCTTTCATTTAATCTCAAAAGTAAACATTTCACCCTTCATTTATATTAATATGTAGAAACGTTGAGCAGCGTTTTGTGTTAGAGGAAAGATGAAAATTCTGTCATCATTTACTCACTCTCGTTTCTTCAAAACCTGTATGACTTTCTTTTGTAGAACTCTTAATGAAGATATTTTGAAGAATGTTCCGGCTGTTCTTTGCCATTTAATGTATGTTTTTATTGCGACTGCACAGTATTGTGCGATTGCTAATCATGAAGGCTACGATTTAATTAGTAAATACACTGTAAAAAATGTTCACCTATTTCAACTTAAATATTTAAGTTTTTAAGTATAATCAACTTGGATGTATTAGTCATTTCAACTTAAATTACATTAAACTGACTTAAAAAATCGAGTTGAATCTCATATACAAAAAATATATTTTATATATATATATAT